GTTGATGGTGTTTGGATAGCGAGAATGAAAGCCTTCATCATCCCAATCAGAGAACATTAATGCGACAAGACTCTAGAGTTTTTATTCCTTTTTTGTAGGGGGTGGGGGTGGTGATGGGTAACTGGATTGGGAGACAATAATTAAATATCAAATAAAGAAAAAAGAAAATGTTTCCCCCTTTTTATCGAGATGTATATAATTGAAATCAAACTGCAAACTACATGTCTATCTCCTGCTTATAGATGAATATCGAAGTTAAGAAATTTTAGGTGACCTAGGGGTTGTTGGGATCCCAAAAACATGATAAAAGATAGATCAACATTGGGTATGGAGAGTTCGTTTACTTTTAAAAATCCTGATATCATGAGAAACAAAGAAAGAAAGTAACGTTTGCCACATGGTCTAGTTTAATATTTTCTTACTATGTCTAGTAGTAGCTTGTGGGATCATACAGAAAAGTTGGATAAAAATTGAAATACGAATTATCAAGTTCATTTGGAGTTCTATCAGTTGGTTGATATGGAAATTTTGAACAGAGTTGTAGAATTCAGAGATAAAAATTTGGGGTTAAGGAAGGGTTGAATCACGCTGGTAATGATTTCACTTCCATTTTTTGCGGAGGTCATGGTCTTCATTTGCTCCTTCCGTCTTCTGCCCTTATTTGAAAAGGTCTATATCCATGGGGGAGTACGACTATGAGTGACTCCAAATAGCTACTTTGAGTTCCTTGACTTGAGCTTACATGTAGCGCAAGAGGAAATCTCACAGAGCCGGTTCTCATTCAACACTTTCCTTGTTAAAGAAGGAACTGCGAGAAGGAAATTTGCAATCTCTTTTTAGAGGGTCTTCTTGTATAGTTTCCTCAACTAGTGCTACACCAGACCCCTTGCTGTCATCATTCATTTTGCTAATGGCTGATGATTTCAAGAGTGCTTAAACGCATTCTCTCGCTGAAACAATCTCAGCCAAGAAAAGCCCAATAGTAACTGCATCTGAAAGGTATGTATTTTATCCTTGTATGTGCTCTGGTTAAAGTAGCTCCTTATAAACACTTGTATAGAGCTGCTATCAACATGCATAATTAACTGCAAAATCTTTCAGAAATGGACTTTGTACTAAAGGTTCTCCCGAAAGAACATGTCTGCTCAATTAATTATTTGTAATGGTATTGCTCCTCGGTAAAATAAAGCTCTAAGTGCAAGAGGACCCAAATGTTTGAGTTTTGACTTTGACACCTCACCCTTAGTAGTAGGTTTAGAATAGCAATCAGCTATGGTACTTGTGGAAAGATTGTGTGCGAACACCTCTAACGTCGGGGTGAAAGCGCTAAGGATGTGTTGTGCGAATATTCACCAGTCCCAAGCTATTTGTCTTCAACCTTTTTTGACTTGGTTCTTTTGATGCAATTAATTCCACAATATTTCTTACGAAGTAGAAGAAAAATCAGGACTCCAATATTAATTTGGTTATACAATTTGGTATGGTACCGGGTACTAGCTTATTTATCTTTCCTAAGCAGTCACAACTGGAACATGCGTTGGTTGCTTATCTGCTTCTGGAAGCCTAAAAATAGAGGTCAACCAAGACACTTGTAGAAAGATTGTGGGCGACACCCCTAATTGTTGGGGAAAATATTGTGGGTGCTTGGAGTTTCCCTTTGTTCCAAGTTGTTTGTCATCAAATATTTTTGACTAGGTACATGTATTGCAACTAGTTTCATATTTTTTGAAAAGAAGAAAGACACGTAACGTAATATTAATTTGTATAGGAAAAATATATAAATGACCGGTTAAGTTATCCACAATAATCAAATGAACATCCCAAATAAGCAAATGACCAAATAGGCACTTCAACTGCCTATTAAGTGCGTCAAGAAAACACCCATCCATGATAGTGTCATCGCGTGTTGCACAAACTCCCTAACATAGTTTTAAAATTAATTATTTTATTAGACATGGTATTATACGTGGCTGGTGGATTTAAAAAAGAGACAAAAAGAAACAAAAGAAAAAGTCCTGATTGGCTCTCATTTCCCCTAAATCGTCACCCTCAACCACAAGGTTGTTTCTCCATCTCTTTGAGTTTTCACCTATTTGTTTGATTTTCATGGTAAAATTACACATTCCCATTACATACTACATAAAAAGATTTTGTTCTCTTCCCCCACCCCGTCTTCTTCAACTGCCAAATAAAATAAAAATGACGCTTTTCTCTCTTTTTGTTGTTTCTCTCTCCTTTTTAATCTCATATCATTTTTACCATTTTTACATCTCAACTCAAGGCAAACTCTCCATTTTTTCTTCACTGAAAAAACGCAGATCTCCTATCTCCCTATTAGTATCACACTACCTCCACATTCCCTTACCATTATCATAAACAAACACACTAAGAATTAGAAAACAAAAAGCATGTTCTTGCAGAAAAACCTAGGTTAGAGCTCGTGGGTAGATTTTGGTAAAATAGTATGGTGGAACCTAGTCACAAGTAGGGGAGATAGAGAGAAGAAAGAGGAAGTGCTAATTAGTTTCTCAATTTGGGTATAAAATGAGACCTCAATAAAAAAAAATAGGAATTACACCTCAATAAGGAAAAATTAGGAATTACACAAATTTATTACCGCTGGAAATGGGTTAAAATTTGAGGCAACGTACTGTTACATGAGTGTGCAACACGCGATATACCAAGACATGCGTGGGTGTTTAGTTGATGCTCTTAATAGACACTTGAGGTGTTTAGTCGGTCATTGGCTCAGTTAGAGTGTTCATTTGATTGTTGTGGACAACTTAAAGGGGCCATTTATGTATTTTACCATTTATTTATGTAATGCATATGCATTAGCTTCTGCTATCTTTTCTAAGCGACCACAATTGGAACTTGTGTTATTTTTCATGAAGTATTTGCTCTACTGCTTTTATTTAAATCGACCAGAACAGGAACTTGCATTGTTTTTTAATAAAGTAAATGTGCTACCACTTTATTGTAAAGTCTTCATATTCATGATCCATTTGCTGTGAACATGTTCCTTGATCCTCTTTATCTTTCTTTCCTTTTATAATGCTTCTTGAATATCTCCAGTATCCTTCTGTAATCTGTTCTTTACTTTAGCTTCACAAAATGAGTACATGTATTGGGATATTATGTGCAGAGATACGCCCAACATTTTATCTTTGATGACGTTAAATGGTGCCCATATCTNTTTAGCTTCACAAAATGAGTACATGTATTGGGATATTATGTGCAGAGATACGCCCAACATTTTATATTTGATGACATTAAATGGTGCCCATATCTAGTGGAGGGCTCTTGGGTCGTCCGGACCCAAAGCTGATAAAAGTGGTAGCAGAAAGTGTAAAAAGTCAAGCTAAAATGCACGTTTTACAAAGTAGTGAAAATCTTTCTAGGCTTTGATCAGTTCTTGGATACATAAATAAATATTGAAAAGGCATGAGTCATGTTTCACTGGCATATAAAGATTGGAGTATGAACGACCACAAGACTTGATTTATGCTTAACCACATTGCTTTCATTCCAGTATACCTGAAGTCTCTGAACTAGCTTTTAGTAACTTCTAACCGTTAGATTATACGTATTCTTTTTTTAATTAAAGGAGCTCACCTCTCTAAATGGACAAGGATATGGGCTAGTATCAGGCCCCACATAAGATCTGCTACTGCAGGTATAAAGTTGTTGATGAACCAAACCCAAGTTGATACTTGCATCGGTATCTTGTAATTCACTTTCTTAAAAATCATCCAAAAAACTCTGCGATGATGTAGAGGCTTCATTCAGATTCAGTTGCCCACTCAAATTACTTGACCTTTCAGGTAAAATATTCTGATTATGATATAAACGAGCATTACTCTCCAGTTGCCTTCCCTCGAAAAATGTATTATGAGGAGCTGTCCTTTGTGCTACAGCATATTGAGTTGCTAATTCCCTGCTTCGAGCAATTTGGTAGCCAACAAGACTATTACCTGATACAGAAACCAAGGTCCCATTAACATTACCAAGTTGTCTCCTCATGTTATTAAGCAGTTGATTTATTTGCCGATGTATTCTACGTCAGCCAAAAACCGTAGATGCTCAACCCCAGAAGCTGGAGAAGCAACTTGACCATCTCGGGAGATTGAAAACCACCGAATTCTTCAGTCAATGGGGTATAAGGCACGTATATTTCATTAAGGTCAAATGTCTCCCTCACATTGGCTACATGGGGTGACCCAATAGAAAATCTGCTGCTTGTTCTATTAATATCAGGGGTATGATTCAGATTCTATGGGTTTGAAGAAGTAAATGCAGTTGGCCGACAACTTTCACAGTACCAGTTACCTTTAGGTACTTCATGTCCAAGACCAACACAATAAGTATGTGCAGGTGAATCACAGAGATCACATAGTAGCATAAGAGCATCATCCCCGCCTTGCTGACACTTTGTACATAATACGTTTTCGTATGGATCAATGTAACCCCTAAGCTCCTCTTCTGATGGTTGATAGACCTATAAATATAATTATAATCATTTGACTGCAGTTAGAAATTCTGGTATTTTTGTGTTTCAAACCTAACATCTTATTTTCATAATCATCAAACCTAACATCTTAACTAAACGAATATATAGGTTTACCACAGGAAAAAAAGGACTATACATGATCACGCTCAAGGACCTGAATAGCCACAGTCCTCAATTCAAAGCTAGTGTCTGACCTAGCAGGCTTACTAATCATTACAAACCTTTGCTTACACAGTGAACATCGGGATTCCACTTTTGACCACTCCATGATGCAAGCAAAACAATAGTAATGACTGCAGCAATTCATCGTCCCTCTAACTGTCCTCTTACCTTCTTCAGACAAACATATTCCACAAATTTACTTTCCTATTTCAGTCTTCAAATCCACCTTCTCTTTATCCTTTCTTCCTGGATGTTTTCTTTGTAGATGTAGAGCTTCCTCTTTTGGTAAATTTTTCAAGGAAGTTGAGCCCTTCCAAGCTGTAACAAGGCCCCTGCAAAATCGGTTAGCCTCTATGACTTGCTCCCTCTCTTCTTCAGAGGTGGTAAATTCACGGTCAGATGATCCAAAACTCTGAAAAAAATCTGAATTCGAATCTACTCTTAGTCTCTTTCTTTTTCTCCTATGACGTGCATTATTTTTATTCGTTTTTGCCACAACTGGATCTATGTCTATGAACTCCTCATCATTTTCAGATCTTGCTTTCCTTTTCAATCGGCGTCTGTTCTGCGGTTTCTTTCTTGTCATCCTTTTCGATTCTTTATTATTTCTAGTTCTCTTATGTTCTTTGGCAGTGCTATTACGCAACTGTGGCTTGCTTGAATACTTCATCCCTTTCAATACTGGAAACTCTTCTTCTTCGTCTTCTTCGTCCAAGCCATCTGGAGTGAATTCATCATCATCATCATCCTCTTCATCATAATCTTTGGCAGTGACCTTACGCAACCGTGACTTGCTCAAATTTTTCATCCCGTTCATTACTGGCAAATCCTCATCTGTATCCAAGCCATCTGGAGTGAATTTCTCATCATCTTTATCCTCATCCGCATCCTCATCCTCATCATCATCATCTTTGGCGGTGCCCTTATACAACCGTGACTTGCTCGAGTTCTTCATCCCGTTCATTACTCGAAAACCCTCATCAGCATCAAAGTCATCTGGAGTGAATTCCTCATCACCCCCTTTTTCTTCATCATCTTTGGCAGTGCCCTTATGCAACCGTGGCTTGCTTGAATTATTCATCTCTTTGGCTGCTGGAAACTCCTCTTCTTCATCCAAGCCATCTGGATTGAATTCATCATCATCGTCATCATTATCATCTTTGACATTACCCTTAGGCAAACATAGCTTGTTAGAATTATTTGTCCCTTTCACTACTGAAAGATCCTCCTCTCCATCCAAGCAATCTGGTGTGAATTCCTCATCATCTCCATCATCATCCTCATTGTCATCTTCTCTATATGAAACTCTCTTTCTCTTTCTAGGCCTTACAGTGCCTTTTCTGTTTCTCCTTGGTTCTCTTGATCGAACAACCTTTTTAACCTTCTTCGTCTTCAATTCCTCGACCTCCTCATCTTCAAATTCACCTAAGATCTCATCTGACTCATCTCCGACAAAAGAAGAATATCCATCTTCTGACTCATCAAACTCCTCTTCCTCATCAACTGCGTAATCCTCATCTGACTCATCTAAAGCTTTATACATAGATCCAGCCCTTTCCTTACCACTAGTCTTGCGACCAACCTTGCCTCCCCTCTCCATCCTTTTTCATACCCAGAAAAGTACAAACCCAAAACTTGAATCAGATCAAATTATATGATAATCTCATGTACCACTAGAGCCACAATTTAGTTAGGGAATAAAATGAATCCAACTGAAACACAAAGAACACATCATTTCTTATGTAGGGTGAGGCCTATATTACAAGCTCATGTTGATTCCTTAATACTTTAAGGTCTCCCAATGGATGCCCAAATAAAGATTGCAAATCTGTCCATTTGCAATTACAAAATTACCAAAATAGTATCAGAACTCTCAAAATCTTAACATTCTAATATAGGCTTATCCAAATAAAACCTTAAAATTCTAATATAGGCTTATCCAAATAAGGCATCAAATCAACCAAAAATTAAACAATTGAACACCTTAAAAACTCAATTTTACTCAGAAATAGACCAGAAATAGGAAGAATTGATCTAACTAAATACATAAATGAAACCCCCAAAATCAAAACTTGAACCCTAGATCAAGATATTAGCACTAAGCCCCAATAATTCAGCTAACTAAATAAACATAATTCCCAGCAAAAACACAATTAATACCAAATATGGATGAAATTAGTTAATATTAAAATCCAATCCCAATAATACAGATTTCCAAAATTCAGATGGAACAGTAAAAAAAATCATAACAATCAACAGATTACCAAATAACCAAAACATATCGAGATTGATTAAATGATTCAGAAAAAACAAAAAAGGAAAAAAGACAGGCTATGACAAGTACCTGAGAAAGGAAAAGGAGGCAAAATCGGCAAAACCCCAAAAAAAAGATTTATATTTAGGGGTATTTTATCTGTAAATATAAAAGCAATTTCAATTTTTTTTTAAAACAAATAAAAGAAAAAATCAAGCGGTGGGATTTAAAGTTGAAGAAATGAGAAGAGGGTCACCAAAGAATATGTATTAACTTTTTTCTTCTTTTTGTTTTTCTATAAATGGATGTGCTTTTTTAAAAGAGTGAAATTATTGCAATTTACAAATGGAAGCATTTATTATTAGGAGATTTCGAGGGGTTGTTGCCCCTGGCCCTATGTACTTTTATAAGATGCAACTTGGCTGTTATGTTATGTCTGAAATTCCATGTTTACTCTTTGTGGTTTAAAAGAGCAGCTCAACTACAATTTTGACCTTGGGCTCAACAAGTTGGATTTCGGGCTTGGACCCTATGAGGTTTTGTAATATTTTATTGGAATTGGGCTAACAGGGTGTTATGCAGCCCAGTAACCTAGAAGAAGGAACAATGTGATAATTTGAGAAGAATAAGATCGCTGTAAAAAAACTTAAAAAGAGTTTCAACCTTTGCCAAAAAGTTATACTGCGTAAACAGATAATAATACATTTTTTTGTACGTATGTAAATTTTGAATCTATTCAACAAAGGAAAAATACTAATTCAAATCTCACGTGTGACAATATTTGAATATTTTCAGTCTCTTATGCCACTGGTTGCAGGTAGGGGTGGCAAACGGGCGGGTCGGATTGGATATGGGACGGGTCGAGAACGAGTAAAAATAAATTAATACGGATATTAATATCTGACCCATATGGATATGGAACGGGTAAATTATCCGATCCGGTCCATATTTAATATGGATAAAAAAGGGTTAACTGACGGATAATATGGATATCCATATTATCCATGGCTTCTTGAATATGACCACTTTTGGGAGAATTTCTAGTCTCCCAAACTTGAGGAACCCACAATTTTCCCAAACTTGAGGAACCCACAATTTTAGGCTTTACAAATGTTAAAGTTAAACCCGTTAGTTATCCATTGGTTATCCATTTTCTAAGTGGATAATATGGTTCTTATCTATATTTGACCCGTTCTTAAAAAGTTCATTCCAACTCATATTTTAATGGCTTCTTGAATATGACCACTTTTGGGAGAATTCCTAGTCTCCCAAACTTGAGGAACCCACAGTTTTAGGCTTTACAAATGTAAAAGTTAAATCCATTAGTTATCCATTGGTTATCCATTTTCTAAGTGGATAATATGGTTCTTACCCATATTTGACCTGTTTTAAAAAAGTTTATTCCAACTCATATTTTAATGAATAATATGGGTGAATACCTGCTTTCTTTTATCCATTTTGTCACCACTAGTTGTATGCATAATCTATGATTGCTTGAACATGTTGAAAGGGCTGGAGTATGCATGTAACAATATAATGGTTGAAGTGTAATTCATAAATATCCGTAAAAACAGCTTCAACTCCTCTCTTTGGTCAATTTAAGGGTGACACAATCTAGTCTTTCTTCTCTATAAAAAGAAAAATGTAATGTCACTTTTAGAAACTATCAGAGAGGTCGCCTCTTTTTAACAAGATAAATGGGCTAGAAATGAAGCCCAATTAAAGTAGGAGGAGGTGAAGTCACAAGAATTGTGTGTCCACTTCCACCTGATATCTCAGTTCTGGATAGGAGGATGATGAAATGAGGAGCGGGCAGGTGCTATACATGTATTTTTCTCCACTTTATGAGTTTTAAGATTTAGAGACCACTTCAACTGTTAATAACTGAATTTTTAATTTGATATATACACAGTTGTTTGAGCAAAAACTATACATATTTTAGGAGATAAGGTGTAACTTAATTACCATTTTAAATATACAATAAATGAAATGAATTTTTGTTATTCTAGAAAGTAAATAATATAAAGCTAATGGTGGGATCTTATGTTAATCAAAAACGTTAATAAAATATTGACTGCTAACGTTAAAATTTGGCTCGATTACTGCAAGCACATTTGGGCCATCAGAGGCCTGCCTCGACCGCCCGGCTGAAGAATGGTGATTTGTACAAATATGATCATTTGGTGTCGTCATTTAAATTTTTGACCCGATTAAGAAAAAAGTCGTCCACATTATTTTGGGAAACGCTCTTTAAAATAACCAAAATTTTTCAAATGGTGATCACTAGGGTTTACCACTAAACCTGGCAATCGCGAGAATTTTTCATATGACGATCACAAGACTTTGCACAAAAACTCACGGATTGCTAGGATTTTTTAGCATTGTGGTTGAAAATCCTGACGATTACTATAGCTATCTTTTAAGAAAAATTCTAGCGATCGCCAAGAGCACTTTCCAATATTCTGGCCAGAAGATATATTTTTCTTAACGGGGTCAAAATTTAAGCGGTGGTCCTAAAAAGACCACTTGAAAAGGTCCGTCCAACATAATTTCTTGCTAAAGAAAGTAAAAATTACATGGGGCGCCCTATTTTGTCGCCCTTTTTTAACTTATACCCGTTTTATTTTTTCGTTTGCATCCGTACTCATTTTTTTGTTAAAAATATTTTAAAAAGACGATTTTGCCCTTCTTTAATAAAAGACTATTGACAAACTGCAGGACAAAAACTTAAGCATGTTTAGGCTGAAATTTTAGCAAATAAACTAAAAAACTTCAATTTGTTTAGACTGAAATTTCAGATAAAACTCAGGACAAAACTGTAGATTGCGTTACAAAACTTCAGCATGTTTTGGTATGAAATTTTAGCAAATGAACTAAATAACTTCAGCATGCATTAGCAAAAACTCTTTAGAAAATTACATACTGCAAGACAAAAACTTAAACATGTTTAGTCTGAAGTTTTAGTAAATGAACTAAAAAACTTCAACATGTTTAGTCTGAAATTTTAGCAAATGAACTAAATAACTTCAGCATGTTTTATCTGAAATTTTAGCAAATGAACTAAATAACTTTAGCATGCATTAGCAAAAACTCATTAGAAAATTACATAGTATAAGACAAAAACTTAAGCATGTTTAGTCTGAAGTTTTAGCAAATGAACTAAATAACTTTAGCATGCATTAGCAAAAACTCATTAGAAAATTACATAGTATAAGACAAAAACTTAAGCATGTTTAGTCTGAAGTTTTAGCAAATGAACTAAATAACTTCAGCATGTTTAGTCTGAAGTTTTAGCAAATGAACTAAATAACTTCAGCATGTTTAGACTGAAGTTTCGGATAAAATTCATGACAAAACTGTAGACTACAGGATAAATAACTTCAGCATGCATTAGCATGAAGTTTTAGCTTCAATGTGAAACAACTTCATGCTATATTAGCATGAAGTTTTAGCTTCAACATGAAACAACTACATTAGCATGAAGTTTTAGTTTCAAGGTGAAACAACTTCATGCAAGTGTGATTCTCAAGATGAATCTGGACAAGGTTCTAATTTTTTTATAAAGTTGCTGAGAGGAGAGGAGATGGTCATTTTATATCTTTTGTCAGGGGTATAATTGTCATATTATTACGGATTTTTTGTGAGATGGCTACCAAATCAATAATATTTAAAAATAGGGTACAGGTTAAAAGGTGGCACAAATATAGGGTACGACTGCAAATCCCCCCTAAAGAATTGACAATTGGGCCTTTTTGATAATAGGACAAGGCCCAAAAGGTTTAATCACAACTTGATTTCACACACATCCACCAAATAGTCGCTTACCTAATCTCTTATATGTAACAATTGATGTATATATAATATATGTATAGTTTATGTATAATATATGTATAATTGTGTATAATTAGTATATAATANTATAACAATCCCCCACTAATTTCTCCACTTACGAGTACCATATGTTTTCACTCTTCTCTCTTTATGCCAGATCAAACACTAAAAAATAATTTCTCACGGTAACGTGTTTCTGCAAAAATTATTTTCCACGAAAATCATTTAATGACATACCAAACACACCAAACAGGCTAAAAGCTCTACGTGTGACGTGTCCTTTTTCTTTTTCCACATCTGTAACTGAGTTTTCAAAAAGAGGCCAAGATAATTTGAGGCCAAGTCCAATCTCAAGCAAAAACCAAGTGATTCTTCTTAATCTATGAAGCATTATATTAATTAAGCAACTACTCTAAAGGAAACTTTAAGTCCAATTAAATAGCTTAGTAAACTAATATCACAAGATCATGTTAGTGCATGTTTCGATTTCTAAATTTGGATACTAACTTTTCTCC